TTGAGAAACAGGAGCGGGAGGAGGAAATGGAGATGTGTGAAAATAAATGTGAAAAACAAGGCAGACGAAGAGTTGGAAGGGAAAAGTAGAGGCCACCTTTCAGACACACTAATTCATAAGTTCTCTGCCAATTTTACATGTCGACATGTTTAGAGAAAACCTTGGGACATTTTTTCTGTAAACGTTGTGGCAATCTGCTGCAATCGTGCAATCTTAAAGTCTGAATAATAGAAACCACACTGTTGGTACAAACAACAGACTCTTGACGTGACATTTTAGTATACGATGTGCAAACCGAGAGAAAAGCAAGTGAGACTTTAAAGCCTCTAAAAGCATGGATTAAAACTATTTCTAGTAAAAGAAAATAAAAAAACATTGTTATTATAAAGTATTTTTTGAGTGTAACAACAGACCATAAGTGCTGTGTGTGTGGTTGGATCAGAATTGATTGACAGTGGCCTGGCAACATAAGCAAACAACCCGACAACTGTCATCCGATTTTTATTAAAATATTGCTGAAAGAGAAAAACACCCTGAAATATCTAATGTGAAATAACAAAACTGTTTGGGATAAAACTGCGTTTATGGAGGATGCCCAGGTTCATGATAGAAAATCAGTTTTCAGGACCTTTAAATAACTTTGTGAAACCAAATTATATAAGACTGGTAAACCCAGAAATTGATTGATTCCAAATATGAGAGGGGATATAGACTCTAGTCTAAGGGAGGAAGACCAGCTCATTTCAGCATTAGACCAGTTTCCACTCTTACAGATGCAATGTAACAAATATAGCTCGGAAGTGTCTTTCTTCTAAGTCAAATATTCTGTTTGAAATTGATCTCTGTGATCAAGATGCAGCATTTTAGGCTTTGATCCTGTCTTTTGTGTTTGACTTCAACACCGTGTACAAACACATCATGTGTAAGAATGTTTGTAGTCTTGCAGGTACTTTTAAGGCAAAGTTATGGTTTCTATTCACTTTCTTTTCATTTTTTAAAAGATTTTCTTTTGCCAGTTTTATTAGACAGATGATAGTACTGGGACAGACAGTGAGGAGCAGGTATGATAAAGGTCCCCTGACTGAACTGAGGTCAGTATAAGGTTTGCGTCTTAACTATTTTAAAAGGACCAGTGTGTAGAATTTAGTGTATTGCAGATTGCAACTGAACACCACTCACGTCTTGTAGCTCAACCTCCACCTGTCAGCCTACAGTATATGTTTAGCATGGCTCACTTGTTTCAGCCTGCTGTTTTGGTGTTACACAGGTTTTAGTTCCTCTGTGTAATGTTGTTGTAGCTGTGTGTTCTATTTAATTTTGTTCTTAACACACAAGAACTGGAGGTTTTACTCTGTGTTTCCCCTGTTAATACCATGGCTTACATTTCATTTGACATGAGCTGGATTTTCCTGGTACTAAACATATCTCTGCTGACTTGCTTTTAATCGGAAAACATACTCTAAGGCTCATTCTCAAATAAGAATTCAATCACCCATTACGCTGCAAAATTTAATTCAACAGACTTAAATGAAATCCTATCGAATTAGACTGCGTCAAATCGAATGGAGCAGCCCTTGTAGATCTTCCTTAGCACTGACAGTGTGGCGGCAGTACTCGCTGGCTGGCCTAAAGACACGGCTATTTAAAACAACATTAACAGGATGGTGATATTTCCTCTTCGTCTGCCCCTGAGCTACCGCATGACTCTAGCTCAAGTCAACCTTGTTTCCTCCCTGTCACATCCTGAAGAGAGAGCATTACTGATGGGGATGGAGCAGGTCTGACTCCAGCCTGTCAGCAAGGAAGAGGAGAAGTCGGGTGCGCACATACAGTATGTGTGTTTGTGTTACGGCAAGGAAAATTGGTGTGTGTGTGTGTCAGTGCTGAACAAGGCCAGTCGTAGCTGACAGCGTCTTTCAAGGGAAGAGAGAGAGGAGGAGGACAGGAGGAGGAGGACAGGAGGAGGAGGAGGAGGAGGAGGAGAGCTCTCTCTTTTCTTTCTGCTGGAGAAAATGTCATCATGCATCAGTCTGTTTGGCTACTGGCACAAAATCCAGCCACACTCCCACGCACTAACACACACATACAGACACACGCACACACACACACCCGACAGGGAAGTAAGGAAGCCGCGAAGAAGGGAAGGCGAGAAGTATCACGTAAGGAGAAGGGATAGAGGGAGAAGAAAGGAGGAGGGAGGAGGAGGCCATCTGGTCCTCAGCGTTCACACTCAAATTCACTAACTGGAGAAATGAGAGAATTGCCTCAGAGGAGGATTGTAGCCAGGAGAAGGTCTTGATCTCTTTTCTGAAGGTCTGATGTTTCTTTTACCAGCTGCTCATATTCATTGCAATAATCTTAAAAAGGAGCCTTGGGGTACTAATGTTAACTCCTCACAGGCTCAACATGTCTCTCCACCTCTTCCTTCTCCCTTCTTTTCTGGTCTCTTTGTCAACCAATACCCCCCTTTTCTTTCACTCTGTTTATGTCTGCCTTCCCTCCTCACGTCTGCCTTATCTTCCTCAGCTAATTTATTCAGAGACACATTTTTCTCTCAATGTCTTTTCATCGTGTTCGCTGCAATTCAGGCCTGGTGACCGTTACCGCTCTGCTTTTCAACCTGTAATTTTCCAACCATCCATCTAAAGGCTACAATCTCTTTACATGCCCCTGATAATTCTTGCTCTGAGAATAACGTAAAAAGTGGTAGTGTAGAAGTTTAAAATTTAAGAATATAGAATAAATTATAGCGCCCTTACAGGGCTCATGCAAGTGTTGGTCAATGTAAACTTGAAAGATTGTGTTTTTCGGTGTTGCAGACAGGGTCTTTCGAAATTACAAACAGACTTTTAATTGGGGCCCTCCATACGCTCAATTAGTGAAATCTAAAATATTTATCATCAGATGAGAGTACAATAGCAAGCTGTAATGGTTTTCCATGGCCTATGGGTAACTCATAATGAACCATAAACCTGCAATTCATGTGAAAATATATTAAAGATTTCCTTGTGATGGGAGCAACATTGTTTTATTTTGTGCCTATAGGCTGTTACTACTAAATTACTACTGATATTGCGAATGAGCGCCATAATTAACATTGGATTATAACAGTTTACTGGTAAAGCTGTGTTAAAACAAATGGGAAAACCTACTTAATGTACACGTGGCTCACACACTGTACATTAAATAGACAGTAGCGAGATTACACTGATTACATGACCTTCCTTTGCATTCACAATATGAGCATATCAGCATTCATACATATTACAAATATAAAAATATATTTTTTAAATTGAGTTTCTGTGAATAACATGACAAACTTTTTTTTATACCATTTTACCTACTACCAAGAGAACCAGCATTTACCAGTTGATTGGTATATCAATCAACATCATCAATATCAACACTGAAAATACTGCACATTCACTAGTTTCTCTCCCAACTACCACTACTCTTCTCTACAGACACACTCTGAGGGAAAGACATGAGTCGCAGAGAGACAGAGGCAGACAACCCCATTTTTTTAAGTGCAGATTCCACAAAAACAAACATCTAATATTCTGGACCTGTATAGACACACATAGACACACACACACACACACACAGAAACTTGTCAGTACTCTGATTTTGATTGCAAAAGCATTGAGACCCAGCTTGAAATGCTTGCACACTTTTGTATCTAAATTTTCTACCTGTAAGTACAAAAATACATATAAATCCATGTACCCAGGAAGATTAACAAGTACTGTTCAAATTCCACAAGTGATTGGAACTTGCATTTACATTTACATAAGTCTAAGTCTGTTGGTGTGTATCTATGTAAATGTCTGTGTGTGTGTATGTATGAGTGTCATACTGTGTCGCGGGCTGTGAGTTTGGTTTATTTCAGGCTGCAGGAGACAGTGGAAGAGTCCAATCAGTCTATAGAACTATAATTATCATGTCAGTGTCTCTCTGCTACCACAGCACTGTGTAGGAGGGATACCATAGCTACAAAGACTTTTTCAACCAGAGACTGTTCAAGCATGTGTACCATGTCAAACCTCAGCATATATGAACGCTGGATGTGCAATAACCAGTTGGCACTGGCTTCACAATTAGATGTAGCTGTGGGCATGTCTGCCTGTTTGTGTGCTTATATGTAAGTGGGGGAAGTCTGATGTTTTGGCACAACAGTGTGTGGACTTCCATATCCAAGGAAATGTTTCTGTGGAGAATTTAGTTTCCAAATTCTAAAAGAAGTTTCTAAAAAGTTTTTTAAAATGTATGTCTTTTTTTTTTTCTCCATCTCCATACTCAAATTTGGATCTACTAAATGCAGATACTTCTTTCAAATGTTATTTTGAAATGTACTAACAGCAAGCTATCATGGCTGTGCATTTACTGCATTAACAGCTACCAGCTCCATGGGAAGCTCTTCAGGTAGGTTTGCGTATAATAAGCTCTTTACACATATGCAGTGAAGTCTGCAAGCTGCTATACTCACACAGGACAAACTCTACTCAAAGTAACAATGCAACCCTTCCAAGGTGTAATTAAGTCATGTTGCCTTGCACTGTTTCTGATGTTACACTGCTCACCAGAAAATGTTGCTATAATTGTGCGCTCACTTCTGTTTATATACTATTTTCACAAACCCCACCAGCACCACCCCCCTCCAGGCTTTACACCTAAAACCTGTAAGGGAAGTTATCATCACTTTGGCTGACTGAACTACAACACAGACAGTGTGTAGATTTTTAGCAAGTAGGTGTGAATATCTGAACTTTATACGAAGATTCCCTTTCATGACATAAAATAAGAAGGTTCAATGTATTTAGCAACATTTACCAGGCTCTGCAACTGTGTACACGCTAGGGCCACATACAAAAACTATAAAATAATAATTGTGCTTTGGAGTCCTTATTTAGAAAACAACTATAAAAGTTGGATGAATGATTTGCTTGGTTTATTTTAGCTGTTTGTACTGGTTGTTCAGTGGGTGGGCGACATCATGGGAGATTTTCTTGGCCTTGCTGATGGTTCTATGGATGCAAGCTGTGTTTTGGCATGTATTACAACAGACCTTATTTGCCATGTTGGATATTTTACTTATGTTTTACTTCTATTAGGAAATTAGACTCTGAAAGTGAAAAATGACAAGAGAAGGTTATCCCTTCTTGCGTCGTAAGACTCTTTAACAAAACTTAACAATGAGGAGAGCCCACTTGAGGACCCCAAAGACATAGTTGCACTCTAACATTTAGATTTAAACTGTGTTTACCTGGTGATTCTGTAGATTTGTGAAGAAACAAACAGATATTCTCTGAGATGACCATTTGTGGATTAGCAAGTCTTTTGACAACTAAACCCGGGATTCCACAAAAATGTCCCAACAGCCTGTAACAACATTAATGGTGTGTATTGGATATATGCAGTATGTGTGGGTACAGTCTGTGCCTTTAATATGAGGGTTTGTGCTGCTCTTGCGTGCATCATACTCACCATACCCTGGGCGGCGATGAGTGCAGCCAGGGTGCTTCTCCCTGAGGTGCCGGGGGTACAGAGTGACAGACGGACCTCCTGTCCTCCTACCAGTGTTCGGTCCATCTCTATCAGTACAGCCTCCGCCTGCTCTGCACTCTCGTACTCTACCACACCGAAGCCTCGGACTGGGCTGCCCTCATCCTGAGCAAGCTGGAAGAGAGACAAAAGAAATAAGGATTCAATTACGAATCTTACTTTTTAATTAAGGATACAGCTTTTTAATATTGTACATAGATATGTGTTTAAAACATGCATATTTTGAGCTTAAATTTGAAACGAAACATATAAATTGTGTGACAAGTCATCAGTAAACAGATCAATAAAGAGTCACTATACCACACACATTTTACTAACATTACCTCTGTTTGGTCATTTGTCAGACATTTTATCACAAAGTGAAGTAATTGGTATTGATTATACTCTCAACCCCTCACATATATACACAATGAACTGTGGTCCTTTTGTGCTTCAGGGCAAAGAAAACTTCACTTATTGACCATTTGATTAAACCAGTAACATTATTTTTACTTCTGCAGCCGCAGCTTTGCTCCAAGAAAAGTTTAATAAAACCTCTATTGTTTTATAGCTTCATTTTCATCTTTACCTCTGTGAGATCTGTAGTTTGAGGAGACTTACTGGGGCACAGAATAATCTCATTATTACTTGGGTTACATTCATATAATTATTATGGTTATGTACACAAGCCGATTGATCCCCTGTTCAAGTGCCTTATTAAAATGAGCGGATGTTGGTTGCTTCCTCTCTTTGATTTGCTATTCCAGTTAGATCACAGGACATATTCAAAACTACTTAATAATGGTTAAAATATGGTTCACTAAACCATTCCAGGCATCTGTCATCAGCTCTACCAACTTGTTACTTCTCTTTTGATCATTTTGAAAAACAACTATACCCTGTTATTAGATAGATAGATAGATA